ATCTGGTTACTTAAATTAATTGAGTAATTTAATATACATTTTTAATTTTAACGTATAAACACAATTTATAAGTCAAAGTCTCCGTTGTATACACGCTTGTAAATAAATATATGTGTGTGTCGATTTCCCCGTTTCCTTCTGCTTGCAGAAATTTCCACTGTATACCGTATTCGAATCTACATCAACTAGAACCCTACAGCATAACAATAAATCCCAAGAGATGGGTCAACAGGGAGATACCTACGTTGTACAATTTGATTTTCTCATGCATTGTGTATCTCGCTAGGTTAAATCGTGTATTTGGAGCAAGAGTAATATTATGGAATAAAGAAAGCTAGTAATGCTAAATTATTGCTGAGGTACGATTATAATCAATTGACAGTTTGGAGAACTTTGAGCGTTTGACAAGCGAAGGAGAACCTGAAAAAAAAGGTGAATAATAGAAGAGAAGGAAGACTTTGACGGTGAATTTAGAATGGGTCAGACAATGGTATTGGCTTATCAAAATTTTACATTCTGATGAAATATAGCGGACATGGAATCAGCGAAGGAAAATGTCAAAGGTTACAAAGTACTAAGATCGTATAATATTACATAATATAAATGAATTACTTCGACTTAATTTTACCAAGAACACTCGTATATGTATTTACATAGTACTATCATAGTTGTCCATTATTTATTAAAGACAATTATACACGCTATAAGGTATTAAGATCTATAATAATGACTATCAATACAGGCTTTAATCAAAAAAAATGCTGTGAACTTATTAAAGATATCAAAATCTAAATATTACCAAATGCCGATATTACTGTTATTGAAATGTGGTTAAGCTCTCTTGAGACCCCATCTAGATGCACCAAGAGCATCTGTAATTTTAAAATGTATGTAAGTACAACAAAACCATTACAATTTTTAAGAACTAATCAACACACACTTAATTAATTCACAAATTTGACTTGAACATAATATTTTGAATTAGAAAATGTTGATAACTAAATAAAATAATATGAATTTTTAAAATACCAAAGGTATATTTGTGTTTGAATTTTCACTCATGTTTGTATATTTGATTTACTGAGTGACGTGGCTTATGATATCCTAGCCGACTTCTTCGTAATAAAAACTGCACAAGACATGCACATTGCACATGAATAGTAAGTAGGTACATGATACTACAGCAAACCATACCATTAAATATTTTACATTTTGTAACCTAAAAACCTAAATTAATTTCGTTGGTACATAAATATCATCAAGTTATGATATTATAACAAATAACATGGAATATGATGAATGTCAAACCATAATAGATTATTAATAATGATTTATACGATTATTTTTAATAGTTTTCGAAATGTATAAGTGCATAATATGTTATACGTACACCACAGTACTCTAATATCTGTTTAAAAAATAATAATCTAAAATTTTAGATTGTACTTTTTTTTATCAACGATATTTGACGGGATTATTCTACCAGTATTATGA